AAAAAAAAAAAAAAAAAAAAGACTTTTTCAAACATTAGCTTGGCATGGTGATGTGTCTATAATCCCAGCTGTTCAAGGAGGCCAAGGCAAGAAGATTGCTTGAGCCCAGGAGATCTCCCACTCTAGCCTGGGAGATAGCATGAGACCTTGTTTCTAAAAAGTAAAGTAAAAACAACACAGATATGCCTAGTAAAAACTCTGAAAGAAAGTATATCACAATGTTTAGAAATAATTACTAGTAGTTGGTAGGATAGAGGTTTTTTACTTTTTTTATACTTAATATACTTCACAAATCTAAGAACAATGTGTATTACTGTTTATAATTGGAGGAAAAAATAGCTAATATTTACAAAGTGCTTTATTGTTTCCCTTTGTATTTGGACTTAAGATCTCATTATTGTTATTATTATTTTTTTGAGACAGAGTCTCACTCAGCCTTCCAGAGTGCTAGGATTACAGGTGTGAGCCACTGCACCTGGCCTAATGAGCCATTTTCTTAAAATATAAGGCAAGAGGGAAAAAAGTGTAAGATCCCCAGACTTCTCCAATGAAACAAAAAGCCATGAAGAAAAATCCCTGTATATATATATATATATTTTTAAAGATGTTGCTGAAGTCTTCTCAGACATGCCCAAACTTTGCAAATTTCTTCAACCATCTAGATGGTCTGGAGATTTTTGTTAACAACCAGTTGTATAACAGAAATACTCTATGTGCCTAGATGTGGTAGCTCAAACTTGTAATCCTAGCATTGTGGGAGGCCAAGGTGGGTGCATTGCTGGAGCTCAGGAGTTTGAGACCAGCCTGAGCAAGATCGAGACCCTGTCTCTACTAAAAATAGAAAAACTGAGGCAAGATTATCTCTTGAGCTCAACAGCTTGAGGTTGCTTTATGAGCTGTGATGTCATGGCACTCAGGGTGCCAGAGTGACACTCTTTCTCAAAAAAAGAAAATGCTTAATGCTTTTCCCTCCCTGTGTCTGAAGGAATGAATTATGTGACTTGGTATATATTTTATTAAACACTAAAAATAAAACATTTATTCCTTTAATTATCCAAAAAAAAAAAAAATCCAGGTGTCAGCTTGCTTAGGCTGTTATCTGGAGGTTGTGGGAAGAGAATCTTCTTCCTTGTTCATTCAAGGTGTTGGCAGAATTCAATTCCTTGCAGATATAGAACTGAGGTCTCTTTCTTCGACATGTTTCTGACATAAAAAAGGGTTACTGTCAATATTTTGCATCTTAGCTGAGTTCAAATAATGTAGTCCATATACGATGATGTACAATTTATGTATAGTTTTTTATTTATATAATATTTACATGAATAAGTATCTTAGATGTTTGTGTTTCCTAAAACTAAAGCTGGCTTATCATAGAATCTCTTCGAATTTAACAGTCTGATATAAAGTACTTAAAAATACAGGACATATGTAATTATCTAGATCTTAATACTAAATTTGTTGAACTTAACAGGCCTCTGAAATTTCCATGATTTCCTTGCCTACAGATAGAATCAAAGATGGACACAAAGTGAACTCACAAATAGCCAAGCTGCAAGAGTTGTGGAAAACTCCTCAAATTCAAACAATTCACATCCCTAAGTCAATGATGGATGCAGCTTTTTTAAAGGTATGCTAACAGAGAAACATTTAAATACCAATAGTCTTTGTATTCAGAGCTGAACTTTTTATTGAAAATAAACTACTTGGAGTGCAAGGCCCTGTAGATGACAGGATATACCCAGCATATTGTGTAGCAGTCAATAAACTTATGGGACCTTATGGGACCTAATTAAGTTAAAAAGCTTATGCGCAGCCAGGGAAACAATCAATAGAGTGAATAGACAACCCACTAAATTGGAGAAAATATTTGCATGCTGTACATCCAATAAAAGGCTTTATGATACTTCATGAAGAGCTAATATAGCTTTACTCAGGAAGATTAATGTTTCAAGCACAAAGATGCTCAAGGAAATCTCCATCTTAGAAATAGAAGTCCAACTTTATAAAGATTTTCACTCAAGGACTACAAAATTAGAAGAAAGTAGGTAAAGAAAATGGTAATAAAGATTTTACAACTGTTGACTTGAAGATCATAATTGCTAAAAAGAAAATGGTAATAAAGATTTTACAACTGTTGATTGAAGATCATAATTGCTAAAAGTAGAGCAATGTGAATTAGGGTAAATTCTTCTTTTTTTTTTTTGAGACGGAGCCTCAAGCTATCCCCCTGGGTAGAGTGCCATGGCA